CACACACCCACACACACGCGCCATGCACACATACTCGCACGCACACGCACGCACCAGCACATGCACACACAGCCACGCACACACACGCACGCACCGACTCACGCACGTGCTCGCGCGCACACCTACGCGCGCACACGCGCGCACACGCACACACACGCGCGCGCACGCACGCACGCACGCACACACCACACACACAACGCATTACGTACGCACATGCATATATATATATATATATATATATATATATATATATATACATATACACATAATATATATATATATATATATATATATACATCGGATCGGATCGGACCCCTCGGAGGCAGCAGTTCGGATGCCTCTGACGCTGGGCGCCTCTAGGTTCGGGCTGCACCTGAATTTGAACCGCGCGGTCACGCGCTGACGGGCAACGAAGCGCAAGTCTTAACGCCTGCTCGTGCCCGCAGGTCTCATGATGGCATCCATTGTTCTCGGGTCACATCCTGGGCTTCGCCTGGCAGCAAGGGCAGGAAAAGACGAGCCTCGGGATGAGTGCGGCTGGCGCTGGGACAGTGGCGGAGGGACGGATGACCTACGAGGCCGCTTGGGAGGAGGGGCGGGGAGAGGGGGCTCCAAAAGGCCCGAGAGGCGAGGAGGGGCGAGGAGGGGCGAGGAGGCTCTGGGGCGCTGGGCAGGTTAGGCTCGGGGGGCACAGAGGGGCTCTGCTTTTCAGCCTGGGCCAGTGCTCGGGCATGTGCCAACGGCGAAGCTGTCCACATCTCAGCGCGGGAACGCGGCGGAGTAGCGCTCGTAGGTGAACGACGCGGGCTTCTCATGCCCGGAACAACTGCCGTAGGCGTACTCGAGGATGCAAAAGGTGGGCAGTCCAGGCCTTGAACAACTGCGGTAGAAGTAGGCGCACTCTGTGATGCAATGAACTAGCGGCGTAGAAGTAGGCGGGCTCTGCGTTGCACGTGGTGGGCTTCCCATGTCCTGAAAGGAAATGCCCCCCGAAGGTCGGCGCCCTCTGCTTCCGAAGGCCCTCGACGCGAGCGAAGGGAGCGGCTCGCCCAAATGCTCGCGAGAGGGCAGTGGAGGTGAGCGGTGCGTGCCAGCGGGTGACTCTGCTGAAGTAGGCGTACTCTGTGATGCGTGAGGTGGGCTTCCCATGCCCTGGACAACTGAAGGTGTAGGCGCACTCTGTGAACTGGCGAAGGAGTAGGCGTGCTCGTAGAGGCATGCGCTGGGCTTCCCATGCCCTGAGCAACCGGAGTAGAAGTAGGCACTCCCTGATGCAGACAAGAAGCTCCCATTGCCCATCGCTGCCGTATTCTGTGGAATACAAGGGCCCCATTGCGCGCAACTATGCATTGTCCAGTGAAAAGCGAACAAGTCTAGTTCGTGAGTGCGCCCTCTAACTGCGTCAGCTTCGTGTGCAAGATCCTCTCCATGTGCACCGTCGGTCCCTGGCCTGGCTTGTCGCCCGCTCCCGTCTGGATGAGTGAGTCGTGAATCGCGCTGAGGTCCACGTCGCTCAGGGGGTTGAGGCTGATCTGTAGATTGCACTTCGCTGCGTCGTGAGTGTCGCTGGCCTTCGCGAGCGGGGCGAGCTCGACGGTCTGCTTGGTGTCCATGGCTTTCAGCTTGTCGCCGAGCGCCGTCAGGTTCTGCTGGTTTAGACCGCCGACGGGCGCGCCTTCCTTATGAAGACCTTCGAGCAGACCTACGAAGGCCGCGGTGCTGATCGTGCCGGTCTTCCCCATCTCTGCGTCGATCTGTGGCGCCGCCGTCGAGCTGCGAATCTCTTCGTTTTTTTTTTGCCCGCGCCCGAACTCGGGCTCGGATCGCCGCGGCGCTTTTGGGGCTGGGTGAGACGAGGTCTGTCTTGATCAGGATGGCGTCGGTCTGTCGCTGCCTCATCGCCACGTTGAGCAGTAGTTGCGTGCCTATGGGGAACATGCGCTGAATGTCTTTCAAGTCCATTTCCTCCAGTTCGAGCGAGTCCAGGTCCACGAGCTTGGATTTCGACCCACTCTGTTGGTCGCCGCGCTCTCTTTGCTGGCGGCGGCGGGACTTGCGAGCAGGCTGCGCCGCTTCTGCCGCGGCTGCGCCTGCGGGCTCTCCAGCGCTGGGCTGTGAGTTCATCCGCGACATGGGGGCGAGGTACTGGGAGGTGCCCGGCAGCAATGTGGGCTTGCAACTCGCCAAGTGTGGCGAAGGTGAGCTCGCAGTCGTCGCTCGGGCAAAACAGCTGCGGCGGATAGTTCACATCGAAGTTGTAAACAGAGCGGTGTTGTTGGCATCGCCCATAGCGATAGACAGCAGCAAGCTGGTTTATTGAAATCTGTCGGCTCGCGAACGTCGGTCGGCAATTCGGGCATTGGTTCGGAATCGTGAACCGCGTGTGCTCGCATGCTCGCCCGTGCTCGCCTCCCTCCCCACTCGACGCTCGGTGTGCTCGGGGCGCTTGTTTTGATTCGGCCGTGAACGAGCATGGCGCACCATCTGCGCACAGGAAGCCGCGCGTATGGGGGCTATTCCAGGATGCAGATGCATCTGGAACGCTGCGCGGTGGAGCGGGCTGTTGCAGCCGCCGCTTTCGCGCGCGTGCATTCGCGAGCTTAATGCGCGCATCTCGGCCTGGTGTTGGGCGACAAATGTCGAGCAACTCATCGCCGATGACGTCGAGGCATGCGCGTCCGTCAGCCAACATCTGCATCAACTTCATATCATCAAAGAACTGCTTGCGCCACGGGTTGCTCATGTGCGCAGGGCCTCCACCATCTGAGCGCGTAGAGGCCTAAGCGACGCCCATCGTCGCCGTGGTCTCGCAGCGTAGCTTTCCAAAGCCACAGGCTAGCAGTTGGGCATGATGTGCAGGTTCGCTTGCAACGCGCTGCCGTCGCTCAATGCGTAAAATCTGCATGTCCAGGGAAAGCGGTACCATCTTCGGATTCCCCCAAACTTCACGTGGCGAGATATTGCGAACAACTTTGGTTTTATCGGCGGGCTGCTTGATATATGCGGTGCCTTGAAGGAGCACCCGTGCATAACGTGCCACACGCGCGTCAATCTTATCGTGCTTGGCCTCTGTCAGAACGCGCGCTTCGAGTCCAGGGGTAGCCGCTGATAATGCTGGACTTCTGAAAACCGTTCTGCACCGCCCAAGAATAACTGAAATCATTCCAGATGCGCCCCATGCTACGCCAGCCACGCGCAGCAGCAACTCAACGTGCCTTGACCTCGACGTGGTTGTGACCGTTGGCCTGCATGATAGGGCCTAAGAACAAAGTCGAGGAATGGACTTCGCCGTCGACAGGTACCTGGCGATAATGTAGGGCTCGCGAATATCTGCGAGCGCCAGTGCCAACAAACGTCGGTCGTGCACGTTGTTTCCCCGCATTCTGTTGCAGACCAATCGTGCTCAGCTTGTCACTCAAAGTCTGGTCGGAGTGCTGTACTTTGTAAGCCGCTATCTGCGCATCGTGACACATGTGAGTCTTGGTAAGGTCGCCCGCGGACATGCGAACGCTGAGGTCGACGTTGGTTTCAATGAACTCGCACCCCGCATTCATCGGGGTGCTCGTATCAGTAGTAAGTGCATCATTCCAAGCAATAGTGGGCGGCATGAAGGACGCGCGGAACTTTATCGCAGCGTCGGCATCACCCATGAAGCAGCCCGCAGTGCTCTGGTTGCCCTGAGCGTCAACCCCATCGCTGATCGCACATGCTGCTCGACGATGTCTGCCTTTCATGATCGCGCAACCGTCAGGGAGGTATATATTGTCCGCTGCGGCGTCGAGGTAGGAATGATCTACTGATGCGAAGGCGTTCGTCACGTCATGCTTCGCGGTGATGTGGCTCCGTTGCTGCTTGGTAAGTCGCCACTGTAGTGCCGACCCTACTGGGATAGCAGCTGATCGTGAGCGTGCCCTCGCGTAGTCGTGCTCTGTGTCGCCCGACGGAGTGGATGTGAGCAATTGTCTTGATGCAGCCCATGTCCTTCCAAACGTTCGGAATCAATGTGAAAGTCGAGTGCCTCGAGTGCGTGGCTTGGTATTCATCTTGCTAACTTGATAAGTTTGAAATCGATTCCGCCATGCATTGGGCCATTGATGCTGGGAAACTGCAGAAAGTTGAACTAGAAGCGCATCGCCGAGTAGGGGGCCAGGGGATATCATCGCACGGTCGAACTCTCGGCAGCCGTCTTTTTTCCGATCTTCACTTCTGCCCACGAGCAACAGAATCCAAATATCTGAAAGTAGAGACCATGCGGGGACAGCTCGTCGGCGTTTGCAATGCTTCCCTAACCGGTGCTTAATCACGTCGAAATCATACTTGGCGTGTCTCCACTGATGCGTAGTAGGGCAGAAACGTTCGTCGTTCACAGCAGCGGCGTCGATGAAGTGGGTCATATCAATAGGGGCTGCCTCCATTCCGCCTTCAGCGCCAAGAAGTGCCATATCTTCGGTCCAGGTCTGAACGGAGGGTCGAGCGTCGGGTAGATCGAAGTAGCATCGCTTACCAAGGACCTTGCCGTTGCCAGCAAGGCGTCGGCATGCTCGCCAAACCTCTGCTGCCAGTCCTGCTGCGTCAACTTGTTGGGATTCGTGGAAGCGCTGCTCATCTCGGAGGTCGCGTAATCACCGTCGGAGTTTTTTGCGAGCAGCGCTGCAACGTCGGAGGGCTAGCGTGCTCACTAAGTCGTCCGTGAGACTCAGCCGAGAGAGCGTGCGTTCATGAAAGGCGTGTCGACGTTGCTGCGCGAGCTGCTGGCGCTCTAAGTCGATCGGGGACTTCTTCGCTTCAACATATTCAAGAGCTCGTGATCGTATCATTGATAGTAAGTGTTACCATCCAGATTCCATCGTACGCCTTTCTGCCCAGTCTGCCATGTCACGGTAGCCGTTCTCTATGTCATCACGGAGATCTCTATGGTCAATAAGTTGAGGTAGTAAGACAGGTAGTAAGACAGGTCCATCTCTATGTCATCGCGGAGCTGCTTCGCCTAGTCGAGGAACCTTTCGTCTTTCCAAACTAAGAAGACGCGGGTGTAGTCCCACTGCGGCGTCGTGTGGGGCTCGTCGAATGTGAGGGTGCGGTCCACGTCTATGTATAGCATCATGTGGTCCAGTAGGCGTTGTGATGGGAATGCTCGGAGTCTTCTGGTCCGGCGGTGGGCGATGTTGCGGCGCCGGATTCTCGGCAGATAACGTATCGGCATCGCGAGGTAGTCGGTGTAGCTAGTGTGCACGCGAAGTCCATGATAAGTCGGGCCGCGCGGGTGGTGCGTGTTCGTCGCGCACAGGGCGTGGTCCTTCCTAAGCGTGTGGAAAGCTTTTCCAGCGTAGTGCTGCTGCCCGTACGCGTGCATACCTATGGTGGCGTCGCCGTCCTTAGTAGTGTTGGTACGCTCGAGGCCGACGTTCAGGTCTGCACCGATGAACGCGCAAGTTCAATTGGGCAGCTTCGAGAGGATGTCGTGCAGGCAGCTCAGCAGTTTGTCTATGGTAACTTCGTTCTTGGAGGCAGTTGCGAGGCGCTGCGATCTCGTAGGAAATAGGCCGTGATGAAAGTGAGGTCGGACTGCGAGCTCTTCACGCGCGCAGCGCCTACACGGCCGCGAAGAACGGGTGGAGGCTGCCATATCTTCACTTTGCGTGCTCTCCGAAACCAGCGTCGGCTCAACCAACTCTCCGTGCCGCATGATTTGTTGCCTGTCGTGTTCTTGCTATTGCGATGCTAATTAAATTTCAGCATGAGGAACTCTGTCGGTGAGTGTGTCTCATAGAGGGTCGTGGTCTTTGTCTGAATTCTGAGAAGAGTGCTGCGCTAATGTGCTCCAGCTCGCGAGAGATTTCCAGGCGTTTGTCGTAATCCTGCAGAGACAACGGGTTCCATGAAATGAGGCGTATGTAGACCGTCAGCGTGTGACAGAGAAGCCCGACTTTCGGGACGTCGGGCATTTCGTCCACGCTCTGAGGATCTCTGAAAAGCTTTAGCCAGAGCTATGTATATATACATATATATGTATGTATATGTATTCATACACATATATGTATACACACGCACACACGCACACACGCACCCAAACGCACACACACACATGCCGACGCACACGCACCCAAACGCATGCACACACGCTGGCGCACACGCACACACACACACACGCCCCCACCGACACACGCACACAAACACACACACACACACACGCACACACATACACACACACGCACGCACACACACTCACACAAACACACACATACACACACGCACGCGCACACACATATACACACACACTCACACACCCCCACACACAACCACACCATACATAATCACACACACACGCACGCGCGCACGCACGCACACACACACACAAACACACACAAACACACACACACACACACACGCACGCACGCACACACACACACACGCGCACGCACACACACACACACACGCGCACACACGCACACACGCACACACACACGCACACACGCACTCTCACACACCCACACACTCGCGCACACACGCAAACACAAACACACACACAAACACACACACAAACACACATACAAACCACAACGCACAACACGCACGCACACACCACACACCACACAAGCGCACACACCCCACACCGACAACGCACACTAACAATCGCAAGACACGCACATACACACCAGCGCACGCACACACGCACACACGCACACACACGCACGCGAACGCACGCACACACGCACACACGCACGCACGCGCACACACATGCACACATACCGACGCACGCACGCACGCACGCTACACACACGCACGCACACACAACACACAACAACCATAAGCACAACCCACACACACACGCGCACGCACGCACGCTCGCTCGCACATGCAGGTGCGCACACTCAACATTCACACGTTGTGTTGTCCTCTGGCGCAGCGACGGGTTGCAGTCGGCGCATAACGCGGTACAGAAGCGGGCCGCGCCCAAAGTCAACAGATCACCTCTTATGGGAACAAACGCAACCGAAACTGTGATCCCTCGAACGAACACGCACACACACACACACGCACACATGCACACGCACGTATAGGGACAAGAACACGCGCACGCGCACAAACTGTTCCTAGAATGAGGGCCCCAGCCGCACCATTTGCTGCTTAGGGAAGCTGTCCGGACAAACAAACGCGGCGCCGAAGCATGAACGCAATGTCAAAAAAGATCCGCCCTCCATCCGTGCAACCGTTGGACATCTCACAAGTCTTCATAGCGGGAAGATGTCGCGAAGGCGAGCAACATGTCAAACCAAAGCAGCCTTCCATCCGAGTAGCTGTGGTATATTCAAGCTTCCTGGGTATGCCGCGCTGGGTATCTGTGAGTCGCGTGGGTCTGAGTCTGACCATGGATGAATGGGCATGGGTGCTTCTGAGTGTGAGCGGGTCTGGGTACATGGATGGGCCTGATAATCAAGAAACTTGGGTGAGAGCGAGCCTGGGGCCGCATCGCGTGCACGAGCCAAGGGGGCAGCAGGACGAGCTGAAGAGAACAGGAAAGCCAGTGAAACAGCATGGGAACAAGGACAGACAACGACGTTGAGAAACGATTGCGAGATGGACGGGACGGTGCCGCCGGGGCTCCCTAACCCAAGGGGCGCGAGTGCGGGTGCTCATCGAAAGAACTCCGTTGCGCTCGCACTCCCTTGTCCCGGCGCCCCATGCGTCCCGCACAGGCGTCCACCCCTAGGCCAACGGCAGGCCATCGGCATGTGGAGGAGGAGGAGAAGGAGGAGGAGGACGAAGGGGGGAGGAGGAGGACGAAGGGGGGAGGAGGAGGAGGAGGAGGAGGAGGAGGAGGAGGAGGAGGAGGAGGCGCAGGAAAGGGGAGGGGGCATAAGTGTGGGGGGCTTCCCATGGGGAGCGCTCGTGGACCCTCGCCCGGCCAAGACCGGCCGAAGGCCGCAGGGCGTCTCGGCGGCGCTCGTCCGGCGGCGGGCGCCGCAGGTCTTGGCGGCGGGCGCGGGCGGTGCCGCCGCGTGCTCCGCGCACGGCTCCTGGGAGCGCGCAGCCCTCCGCCTCTCCCTTCCTGGCCAGCGGCGCGCCGCCCGCGTCCTCCCGCTCCTGCTCCCCCTCCTCCTCGTGCTGCGCCCCTCCTTCGCCCTGGAGGTCGTCCTCCCTCACCTCCTGCCCCCGCTCCGCCTGCTGCCCCCTCCGGCCCCCTTCCCCTCCCCTCCTCCCCTCCTGTTGCCCCCTCCTGCCCCCTCCTCCTCTTCCTCCTCCTGCCCCCTCCCCTCCTGCTTCCTTCTCCTCCTCCTCCTCCTTCTTCTCCTCCTCCTCCTCCTCCTCCTCCTCCTCTTCCTCCCCCTTCTTCTCCTCCTCCTCCTCCTGCTTCCTTCTCCTCCTCCTCCTGCAAGGAGTGGGGAGAAGGTCCACACCGCACGGCGCATGGCGACGGGGACCAGAGGATGCGAGACCGCGGCGCTCTGCAACGATGGGGGGGACCGGCTCAGGGGGGGAAACATTGATCTGGAATCGACGACAAATCGCCGATAGATCGGCGATATGCCCCCGATAGCGAAACCGCACGTGTCTGGGCGGGGTGGGCTGTCAGGTCCCTGTCGGCGTCGGCGATGAGTGGGCGATTAGGGCTCGATGCATCCCCGCGATGAGTGGGCGATTGGGGCTCGATGCACCCACGACTAGAGTTGACCCTGACACGATAAGCCTACGAGAGGCCCCTCAAGAGGCCCACACCCAACGACCAAGAGCTTCGATCCTCCGCGGTTCGAGCCCAGGCACATGGAGGAACGCCGACGCGGCGTGGCGCGCCATCCCGCGTGGTGAGGCGGAAACGTCGGTGTCAATCTTGGTCAGCGTCCATACGGTGGGGGCAGTGGATAAGGAACCCTCAGATAAGGAATCCAGGGTCTGGAGGCCGGTGGAACTCCAAACGAAGCTTGGCCATGGATATCACCGCCGCACTCATCAGATAAGGAATCCTCCAGGGTCTGAAGCCCCCTGGGCACATTCCTTAGCGAACGCCCCACCGTATTGGTCATCATCAATTTATGGGCCATCCTCGCACATCGGCGACGGCCGGCATTGACCTTGACCAAGATCGGCGTCGACAAGATCCCGCGACATCTTGGTCATGGTCATCGCGCTTCTTCCCTCGGGACAGTGGTTGGCCAGATGGGTCGCGAACCAGGTGAACATACAAGCACCTGTGACCTTCAAAGCCTACAGATGTGCACCCGTGCGAGAGCTCACGGAGCCAAATACACGCACTCTTATGGGCAATGTAGCGGGCCTTCTCCATGTGAGACGATACCATGAACGCTCCAAACAACAAGACACATCGCGAGACATGCCGCACTCTGAGACGTTTCGCCACATAACGTCGGGACACGCGCGTCGCGCATGCGCGCAACTCAAATCGCAAATAGGGCGGCGACAACACCGAACATAGAACGGCGGGCAGAAGCCGAGGATGATGATGCTGCTGCTGCTGCTGCTGATGATGATGATGATGATGATGATGATGATGATGATGATGATAATGATGATGAATGGGGTGAGGAGGAGGAGGAGGAGGAGGAGGAGGAGGAGGAGGAGGACGAGGAGGAGGAGGAGGAGGAGGAGGAGGAGGAGGAGGAGGAGGAGGAGGAGGAGGATGGAGAAGGAAAGGGGAAACATACTGGTGTCAATAACACCGCCATGCGCTTCATCTGCCTGGCTTACCCGTGCCGCCGCTGCTGCTGCTGCTGCTGCTGCTGCGGGCGGCACGCAGCGGAGGAGGGGGGGGGGCGAACTCGGCCGCCAAGGACGCCCCGTGGGGCCCACGAGAAGGGCGACAGCTGCACACCTCGCAGCCCCGCTGCGAGGTCCCACAGGGATCTGCGTGACTGCTCGCCCTGCTGGGACCCCCTGGGGGTCTGCGCGACGACCCACCCAGCTGGACCTCCCGTGGGCCCAGGAGGATCACGACGGCGGGGATCTGCGCGACGACCCGCTCCGCAGGGCCTTCCAAGAGCCCGCGGAGGCTGCGACGCCCGCGCGCAGTGCGCAGCCACCCGGCAGGGCTGGCCGCAGGAGGGGGGGGCGGGAGGCGGGAGGAGAGCGCGAGCCACCGAGCAGGAAACGCAGCAGGAGGGATGCAGAGAGAAGGAGCAGACGGGGGGGGGGGAGGACGTGGAAGAGGGGGGGGCGAGGAGGACGACCGCACAGAGGGGAGGTGACGAGGCGGCCACGTGGACGAGGCTGGTGGCCTGCAGTGGCCCATCCGAGGTGAGGACCAAACAGAGGGAAGGCTCGGGGTGAAGCAGTACTGCCCCCCCCCGGCCAAACGATACATTTTTGCGATGGCGGGCGGTGCAGCGGGCGTCGACAGAGTTGCGCGGGCCAGCGTCG